TGTACGTCGAATCTATGCCAACAAACCAATAATAAGTCCGGAATAGACTCACTGAATCAGGATGGGCCATGAATATGTGTGTCAGCGCATTTGTATTCGGATCGACATTTGTATAAACTATGTAGTTGCTGCTGTTTGCCAAATGTAGAAGTTGGGTAGGAACGTCCCTACCCTCAAAACTTTCCTTACGCAACCAGTCTCTATAGTTATATACATGTCGCCGATTAGCATGGTCATGTGGATTTTTTTCATGGACGGCGGCCAAAATATTTGCTGGTGTCACATGCGCAGCAGTCATTTCACGAATATTTTTTTTGGATGACACGCTTATGCCGCTCGACTGTCGATGGCCCTCAGGATACACGGCAAATGAATGATTATGGTATCCCTTCGTTTCGTCTTGACTCGTGTGGATCATCCAGTATGTCGATCTGGCAACACGCTTTACTTGTATCTCAAAAGGGCACTGGCACGCTTTCGTTTTTGAACGTCTCGAAACAGCTTTATTCATATCTACGTTTTTGCCTCTATAACGTTCGCCTCGATCGCACTTCAAGATCTTCAGCCTTCCGGGTTTTTTGTGTTTCGAAATAGTAAAAAAGAAACCATTCAGAATTGCCGTATTTTTTTGCATCCTTAATAGCCTCCACATCACTAATAAACAGGTAGTTGTATCGAAAGCAGAACGGTAATCAACATCATCTCCTCCAAAATCTTCTAAAGACACCTGCAATGTATTTAATAATTTTAAAGCATTTAAAATTAATAATAAAAAAAATAAAGAAAAAAAAATAAAAAAAAATGGTGTCCGGCCGGTCCGGGTCAAAACCGGCCGTCGAGGCCGGGCACCAATTGGGCCGTACGACCGGTCGGTTAGTACAACGACCGGTCCGTACGGCCTTAATTTTCGCACGGACAGGGTCGTGTCCGGTCGAACCGGCCGGACGGCTTTGTAAATGTCCGGTCCGGTCGGCCGGACACCGCCGGTGCCGTGCGAAAATTGTGGCCGGACAATTTTTTTTTTTCCCTCTGAACTGCTGGACATCTTGCGAAAGTAAGAAATGAAAAGGGCAAAATCGTCCAAGGGGGGCGGTGACTAGTAATAAGGGGGCGGTAAATAGTAACGCCCTTTTGAAATTTAAGGAGTTAAACAATATATTTCAATAAAAAATTCAACAATAAAATATTATAATAGAAATTTCACTAGATATCCAAAATTAGTGAAATTGAATTTCTTTAGATTAGTTGGAATTTAAAGATCCTAATTTTCTTTCCAACAATTTATTATTGTAGAAATATATATTAGAATATGCAGTTTACACTAAAATTTATTTTCCGTCCATATTTTAACCGTTGAAAAAGATGTTCTTGAAATTGTCTAAATCTAATAGAAATTCAAATAAAAAAAATAACTCGCACTGACTAGGTTCATTGGAACTAGTGGTCAATCATGTGAACATACACAAACTTAATTAAAATATTGGATAAATTGCACCAAACCTCCACGTGTTTTGCTAAATGTGCGTCTTTCCCTATTGTGTTTTAAAAAATACACCATACCCTTTTATATTTAAGTAATTGGTGCACACGCTCCCTGTTTTCTGTTCCTCCAATATTAACGGCGTTAATTTTTCCGTAAAATCCCCGTTATACCCTATGAATATTATATATATTTTTGATAAATTAAATTTATCACGATATATTGAATATATCGTGAAAAATCACGAGAAATTGAATAAAAAAAATTGCTGCCTCTAAGATTCAAACTAGGGACCTCATGTAAGCATGGAAGCAATGTCACCTCTACACCACTCAAAGACTTTGAAAGCGATTCAAGAGCATCAATCATTCACTCGTGTTAAAATATCACTTGTGAGTTGTCCCACATCGTTTATATATGGAAAATAGACACACCTTATAAGTCTAATGGGCTACTTCTCCTTTCACCAATTGGTTTTGGGATGGAACCCCATTGGGCTTCATATGGGCTTTCCTTTTCCCCCAGTTTCTTACATGGTATCAGAGCTCGGTTCTATTGGGACCGTGCAATGACGTACCCGCTTATGGGAGTCTGCTTCCCCACGTACCCGTTTATGGGAGTCTACTAGAAAGTCTGCTTCTAGTAGGCTTGGGGCGCCCAGTTGGGCTTAGGCTTCCGAAGGACTCACAAGTGAGGGGGCGTGTTAAAATATCACTTGTGAGTTGTCCCACATCGTTTATATATGGAAAATAGACCCACCTTATAAGTCTAATGGGCTACTCCTCCTTTCACCAATTGGTTTTGGGATGGAACCCCATTGGGCTTCATATGGGCTTTCCTTTTCCCCCAGTTTCTTACAACTCGCTCGATGCTGATCCATGGAATCTTCTGTCTCCAGCTATTGGAGATCCCATTTCCCGTGTTTAGTTTCCAATTACGATGGATCACAAGCAAAAATCAGAATTGAAGTATCGTCATAAATCGAGCAGGCTCGGGTCAGAACATCCGATTCAATAGAGTCAGCAACTTTTTTTGTGAAAACGGTTTCTTTGAGTGTTATATCTAGGAATGTTTAATAAATATTAACATTACAATAGATAAAAGAAATTAAATTTATAAGATAATGTAAATTATATTAAATTAAATTATTGAATAAACTTATGATAAATTAAAATATAATAAACTGAATTAGATAAAATTAAATACCTTATTATATTAAAGGAAAACAAATAATTAAAATAAATTATAAATAAATAAAAAAATTACAGTTAAAATAATAATATTTATTTTAAATTATTTCATGTACTTTATATTTTATTATTTCTTTTAATTTATATTATTCCATATTATTTTGTTTCATTATTCATTTTATTCTATCTTAATTAACAAACTTTATTTATTTTGTATAACTTCAAACAATGAAATATAACTAAAATAAATTTTAATAAATAAACCATAGATTAAAATTATTTATTTATAATTAAAATAATTTACTATAAAATTATAATTTATTTTAACTTTTTTCTTTCATATTCTTTAAGAGTAAATCATATTAAAATAATTTGATAAATTATAATTTTTTTTTATTTTATTAAATTTAGGATTTCTATTTATTTATTTTTTATTTTTTCACAAAAGTTTTAATTTAACCATTTTTATACTTTATTATCTTATATTAATATTATTTTTATTTTCTTTTAATTAGTTTATTTTAATTTATTTATTTTTATTTTCAATTTAATTATTATTATTATTTTTAATTTCAAAACGTATATAATTAATTTATTTTAATAATTAAAAAATATAATTTTATTAGTTTTTTATTCACGCTACTATATTAAATTTTATCTTACTTTATTATTTTATGTTAATTTAATATATTATAATTATTTAATTAATATTAAATTTACCTATTATACTTTATTTTATTTAAATCATTTTCGTATGATATTATAAATATTCTTATGTTCAATAGTTTGCATAGTTATACATTTAGCTCAGTGGTTTGGTGGGTGTTTTTCCACCTTTGCAACCCGGGTTTAAACCCCCTCCCAGTGTTTTCATAATTTTAGCTTTGCAATAATTTAGGAGGGTATAAAGATAATTTTGTAATTCTGTAAAATAAAAAAAAATGGACAATTTTCGCAGCTAAAGAAGGTGTAATACACGCGTCGTCAAATTGGACGGAATGGAAGAACCGTGCACCGAGTAGTTAAATATAAGGAGGTATGATGCATTTTTTAAAACACAGTGGGAAAACGCGCACGTTAAACACAAGGGGGCGAGGCGTATTTTACCCTCAAAATATTATGCATTATTTGTATCTATATTATGTTATCACAATTTATAATTTTGACAGTTAGTAAAACTGAACAACGTAAATATAAAAAGTAGTAACTTGCATATGAATCAATATATTTATTAAGCAAATTGTAAAAAAATAATATAGTTCTTATAATTTTGAGAGTTGTGACAACGAATTGGTTGGAAATTATTATTATTATTATTATTATTATTATTATTATTGTTATTGTTATTATTATTATTATTTATATTATTATTATTATTATTATTGTTATTATTGTTACTCATGTGATTTTAAGGGGTTTTTATTATTTCATTAAAATTAACTAACCAATTTTTTTTTAAAAAAAAACGTCTAATTAGATAAAAAAACAAATAATATTAATACTACAAAAATATCAACTATGGAATAAATTAAAATTCTTGATGAGTAAGTAACTTATTTAATTACTTGTATTATTTTATAATAAAATAGTTAAAAAAAAAATATGGTTACACTAAAAATTCATTGTTGGTTGTGAATTAACGTTAGATTTTAAGATTAAGTAATAGAAAAACGAATATAAAATATATATGTGAAAGTAACCGAAAAGGGGAAAAAACAATATGTAAAAACTATATCTGCAATTATATATACAAATTTGTGTTGAAATTTGTTAAAATTCCAATGGTAGTAATATAATTGAATATTCATTACATTTATTATTGGAATATTTATTGAAAATATTGTTGAAATTTCGTTGGAATTTCAACAATTTCTTATACAGATTTAATAGTAAAATCTTTCGATTCGTGACCCTAAATAATTTTAAATTATCAATTTTAAACTTAAAAATATGCATATTTTTATTTTTTTGTTTCTATCAATGTTTTTATTTATAATTTCCATATTATTGTAGCTATGTGCCTTATAAACATTTGCTGATGTTCTCTAGTCTTTTTAAATTTTATTTATATAAAAAACAATATATATACACACTGATAATCATATTGAAAGTTTTAAATTAACAATATTAAATATTTTTAATTTAAAATCAATAAATTTAATATTTTAGCCTTGAAATAGTTGACTATATATCCGACTTAAGGTAAAATACTGGGCCCCATCAGTCATTACGGTCCAAAGGTCAGCCCCATTTCAAAATATTAAATGACAAGTATGTCCTTGCACTCCAGATAATGCGAATCAAAACAGAGGCGCCACAAATTCTCGGTCATGGCGGGTGTTTCAACGGTTACCGCGTCACCGGCTGCCGTCTGCCGGCGACTGCTCGTCCTTCCACGGCGTTTATCATCGGTAAAATCTTACTTTTCTTCTTTATCATCTTCGAAACTCTACTCGAGGCTAGGCTGGATTCCCCTTCGGCGCGGCGGAGCCACCGTGCTCTCGTCTAGAAAGCTTGTGATTCGAGCTGCCCGAACCGAGTCCAAAGGGGTATCTCTCGGTTTTAAAGCGCCCGATTTCGAGGTATGTGTGTTTTTTCCATGTTTGAGATCAAGGATGAAATTTTGTGTTATACCTATTTTTTGCGTTGATAATTTTTGGGATTGTTCCATTCTTTTCATATGCTTAATTTCAGTTGCCGGAACCTTTGACTGGGAAATTGTGGCAACTGAGCGATTTTGAAGAGCACCCAGCATTGCTGGTAAGAATCTGAGTTCTTCGGTGTTGCTTCAATTTCTTGTTGTTTTTTGTTAATCACCTATAATGTATGTAGTTAAGTGGCTGAAAGAACTCCCATTATAGGTTGTTTGAATGATGCTAATACTGTCAATCACAAAACTATATGAGCAAAATGATTGGTCGAGAGATTTAATTTCGAGAATATAGTAATGCAGTAGCTTGAATTTGCTATTCTGTTTGAGTATTCCAGGATAGCATCTTTACGATCACTCCAATGTGTTACGGTGCTTCATTTGAAATCGAATGAATGTTTTTTTAATACAATTTGATCTACTTTTAAAGTATCCATAACGTTGGGATTTTGGACGAATTAAGTGGCCCATTGGTTAGATTAGTTGTTGAGTTTCCTGAACTATAGAATCATAGGATGCATCTGTTGTTCTGTTTGCAGTTTGCATCAATTATTTATGTTACTTACTCATTTGTTTATTTAAATACTTTTCGTATATGGCGAATGTGCAGGTCATGTTCATTTGCAATCATTGTCCGTTCGTGAAGCATTTGAAGAAAGACATTGTAAAGCTTTCGAACTTCTATATGAAGGTGAGTTATCATCAATTTCATTTTAAGTTTTGCTGTTAATGAAATTCGTACCTCCGTATTAATTTGTTCAAACGAGTATTTCCATGAATAAAGAAATCACTTTTCTATGTTCATCTCTCTGTGTAGCAGAAAGGGCTAGGAGTGATTGCAATTTCCTCAAACTCTGTAACTACTCATCCACAGGTTCGGATAACCTTAGACATTCAGATTAGAGCTGTATTTGATTCCATTTATAATTTGTCAAGCAATGAGCATTTCCTCGCAGGATGGACCCGAATTCATGGCTGAGGAGGCTAAGTTATTTAACTACCCTTTCCCGTATCTCTATGATGAGGTAAGCATTCATCGAACTTGACTTATGCTTCCCAAAACTGTAATTACTATGTCATGCATATTTTCCAATATATCGTCTCCCTTGCCATTTTGTCATTGTTTATAGTTTGATGTGCTTGGTTCCGAAAAGAATGTTTTATGCTAGTTATCACTTACTTTTGATTGAATTTCATGTGAATTTTCCGCAGTCCCAAGATGTGGCGAGAAACTTTGGAGCTGTGTGCACGCCTGAATTTTTGTTATTTAAAAAGGTATTGTTAGCTATGCATTAAAAGATAATATCTTACTTGAACCTGGTTCAAGCTTGATTTTGATATTTTAGTTGTAATGTAATTGGTTTTAGGATGGTCGTAGGCCATTTGAATTAGTTTATCATGGTCAGTTTGATGATTCACGCCCGAGTAGTAACATAAGCGTCACGGGAAGGTTAGTTCTACAATTTTCACTAGGAATTATAACAAAGAAAAACACAACTTAATTTTCTGATTCGTAATTTTAGGGACTTGAGCTTAGCAATAGATGCTGTTTTGAGTGGACAACCTGTGCCAGCCAACCAGAAGCCCAGGTACCTTTTTTCCTTTTCGCTAACTCTCGCATATTTGTATAGCAAATCACTCGTATCTTGGCTATTATGGATGATACCGATGTCAAATTCTTTTTTCTACCACTAGCGTTGGATGCAGTATAAAGTGGAATCCAGAGTGAACGCGTAACTATAATGGCCGTTAAAATACCTTCGAGCTGCACTTGGTTATGTTGCATCAATATCATCTGCTACACAAAATTTCATTTCCTAAAGTTTAACTACAGAATGATTTGGTGGTGGCTTTAGTTTGTGCTATTCAAATGTATTGTTACGGTTTATCTAAGTTGTAATGTGAATGCAATAATTTTGTGTAATTTATTTTTCCGCTCTTGTGAATGGTTTTTGTCGATTCTTGTGAGTTTAACTGCAAAATGGCGACTAATATGAGTTAAATAGAAAAGTGAGACAAGGGATCGAGCCTCGTAGTCCTAGGAACCCATACTGATCACGATTGACACCACAAAATTTTGTGGTACAAATTTTGGGTGAATGAGTAAAACAAAACACAAACGCTAATGGGAACCCAAAGACAATGAAGACAGTGATGACATTAGTACTACTACTACTTCTACTATTACTACCAACTTGAATTGGTCGAGCAACAACGCTAATGACTAGCACCATTTTAGACCACTTCTCATAGTCGACTTTTCCTCTTGAAGGTAAGTGAAACAAGCAAACTACGAGAACCTGAAAAATCGTCAGTTCCAAATCAAAATTAAAATTATTGGTTTGTGAATCATAGATGTCTATACGATGGATTAGTTTCGATTAAACGGGACAAGAAGACTCCAAGCCGTTGACCTTGTCTAGTTACAACGTACAAGCAATCAATTTATTGACCCTACTCTAAAATAGACTACAATTTGCCGTTGTCATTAGATCGATGTGTGTTTAGATCGACGCGTGTTTAGTGGTCCAACGGTAAAAAAAAACTTGGTGATTGTTGTGCAGCCACTGATAAGGTTAGACCTGAAACTGAAATATTCACATTAAGTGATAGGGTAGCTAACTTTGAACATTACAAAAGGACAATTTATTATCTAATAAGTTCTATTTGAAAAGGATTTTAGGTGGGTGTCCTTTCATAGTGATGCATTAATACACATCTGCCCTACAGAAAAAATAAGATTATTTATGTAATATTACATCTACCATTCTTAGGCCGGCTACATAGTACATATCCTAATGCAATGGGTACGGCTCCTATTACTCTTTGGCAACGACATTATCTTCAATGTTATACAACATTGGATTTTGTATGTTGCATGTGTACTTGAACTGTGATGAAATTTGAACTTGTGATTGATAATGTGTTGTGCCTGTTTTTGGCGTTTGCTATTTGCTGCGTACTATTACATCTACATTCTACATGGGTGAACCAAAGCCATAGATTTAAGAGTCCAACATGTGCACAGTGAAACGAATTTTGCGGCTGACCAAATGGCAAGTGTGGCGGCGTCTGGCTCGATTGGTTTACAGCGGGTATCCTCCCCTCCTTCAGACATGGGAGCATGGCTCGAGCATGATGTTATTGGAGTGTTGTATCCCGTCGAGTTTTAGTCTAGGTGTAACTAAATAAGTGAAAAATGATTTTAAGTCATAACTCATATCTATTCGAAAGAAAAAAGAAGAAAAAGAATAACAACCAACATGAAATAAATTGAATTTAGTAGCACCATGTGCTGATGTGCCATAACAATTTGACATGCTCATCTTGCCATCTGAATGCCAACAAAATTTGGTCCAATTTGTGGACTGCCTCATCTTTTCATCATTTGATCAACCCTACAAAACAGTAAATTGACAAAATATAATTGAACCCATAAGCACAAATTTTCCTCCAACACAGTTGGTAACGTAGTGATCAAATTACTCTGGTTCAGGGTCAATAACTCGGATTCGGTATCCTTTTGTTGTCCAAGAATATTCCATCTTTGTGCAGGTCGGTCATGTGAGCAGTCCGCTGTTGTATTAGCTCGACTGGCCAATGCTTCGGTCCATTAGGTTGTTACCTTAACGGTCTCGGAAGGAACCGACTTGGTATAACCGACCTTGTCAATATATGGTGCTACGGTCTAGGCCGACCCGAGAGAGGGTCGAGCTATTTGTACCGTATCAACGCTGTATTACACACAATTTCTTCATTTTATAGCATATATACACACACCAAATATAGACACCATTGGATTACATTTGTTACAAATTCACAAATCCACCCCACCAAAAAAAAAAAAGGAATAAAATAAAAATCCAGCTAAAAATCAAGGATTGCAGTAAAGCTCATAAGCAGACAAATCGAACGGATCACCCAGTAGATTCGCAGAGACCCGATACGGGTCATCACCCGAAAACAACCCGAAACCCGGCACCTGCATCCCCTGTTGTACCTCGGCCCCAAAATCCAGCACACTTGTACCCTCCGACTGCCACAACCCTCCCGCCGCCACTTCATCGCCGATCTGGCCCTGCCACGACCCGAACGGGCCGAAACCCTGGCAAGGTAAATCCTCGCCGTCTATCTCTGGCCCCGCGGTAAACTGATCGGGCGCCAGATGGATCGAGCCATCCATGGTCGCTGCCTTCCGATGGTGCTCGAAAACCTCGCCGCCGCCCTCGATTCGGATGCAATTTCTTGGCGATTCGATGATCGGCTCGTCTCCCGCCGCGATCGAGCTCGCGTACTCACCCAAGCTGGCGGCGATCCACGGGCCGGATTCGAGCCCGGTATCGGGTTTCGGGCAGGGCCGGGCGGACCTGGCACGGCGGCTCTTGCGGCGGCCGCTTCCGACAGGGACGCTGCGGAGGGAGCCGCCCATGGTCCAGTAGCGGCGGCAGGCTCTGCAGAGGTAGCGGGGTTGGGAGAGGCTGTAATTGTTGTAGTAGCAGAACTTAGTGTCGGCGGAGGCGCACCGGGGGCAGCTGGGGGCCGCCTTAGTGATGCTGCTCCGCCACCTGGCGGCGCCGGCGGGTGGAGGAAGGCGACCGATCGACGGGTGGTCGAAGATCAAGTTGGGGTCAGTAGTGGTGGTGGTTCTAGTGAACATTTAAGAAATTTTGAGATAGGGAATAGAAATTGAGATAGGGACAAGATTATTGTGATGGTGGGGTGGCAAATTTTGAGTGAGGGGAGGGGAATGTATATATAGAGACTGTAGATATATGTGGAGTTATATATAGGTGGGTTCTTTGGCTCGCCCAGTTCGATCCTACCGTGGACAAGGTTTGGAGCCGTCAAATCACGCATATATGCACATACTCGAATACTTGAGCTAGTGTCTGAACTCTGATGGGCCGGGATATGGTGTGGGCAGGTTTTGGCTGTCGAAATGTTAGGCATGTCGAGTATTCATTGATCTTATGGTTCGGAACCTAGTGTTAGCTAACTGTTAGACGATTTTCTTGTCATAAACAGTGAATAAATGTATATTTATGTGATCAAGTGTCATGTGTGTATATTATTTTTCACCGTATGATATTTTCTAATAAAAGTATGCATATTTGTAAGTGGAAAAAAAAATGCCTGTTAAATGTTAAATGGTTATAGACAGGTCAAAAGAAAACTTACCAGACTGTGACATGCCTTGAACTTCTATTCTTTGTTTTTTTGGTGTCATTCTCCAATTTAACTGGAAAAATCGTTTTAATCGTACACTTCATTATTCCTTTGGTTTGGTTCTTCAATGATGATTTGTCCGAATGGATACACAATAGCTGCTACCGTCACGTTACATTAGTTATTACCATATGCGAGTTTTTAGACAGCCAAATTAAAGTTCAATAAGTAATTTTTCATTTCACAAAATCTTCATAAAAGTGAAGAAATTCATACGAACAGTAGAGAATTTCACATTGGGAGACTGAAATTAGACTAGACAATAAAACTAGTAGTACAGTCCTTGTCCTTGGGCGGTTTGCGAGCCGTTGGGACCATAACACACATCACACAAACGCATTTGAAGCAACATCGCATTTTGAAGACATTGTCATAATGTGATGGTGCCTTTGCGTGGGGAAAGAGGGATATTATATAGCAAGAGGTTTGGGTAGCGTAGGCATTTCATGATTGGGCGAGCGTGAGCGCTATTGATAGGTAAAAGTCAATGTAACTCCATTCATATATGTAACTACATTTGAATCAACCACATACGGATATTAACAAGCTAAACTCGAGCTCGAGCCCTTAACGAGCTGGGCTCGGCTCGACTTCTTTGTTGGGCTCAGATGCGCAAATGCGGAAAATGTAAATTAAACTACTAACGTGAAATGGTTAACCGTAATCCCAATTCCAACAACTCAAGAATGACAAAAATAAATCTCTT